TTCAGCCATTTATTTATTTACTTCCGTTTTGTAATGAAAATTGTATCGTACTATGATGTTCAGTGCATCAATCAAGCATTTATAAGAAATCACACACACACACACACACAACCAATTACAAAGTGTAAGAACCAAAAATAAGTTTGCAAACATGTCAAGCTCTACTTCAAAATACAATATTATTATAGAATTATAACTTAAAATCACGCCTTTTATCCCCGAAAGGGTAGGCAGAGGTGGGCAGACATTACGGCACTCAATACTACTGAACAATGTAACACCCACTTTTCATTATTTATGTTATGAGTCCCATGTAATAGGGGTGAACCTATTGCCATACACCGGGCGCATTTCCAAACTCCGTGCTACTACTGAGAATTTTAAAAAATCCAATAATACTTTGCCCGACCCGGGAATCGAACCCGAGACCCCTTGCCCGGCAATCACACCGACCGTTCGGCCAAAGAGGCAGTAATTATTCGATTATAGGGTTATTATAGCATTATAGGGTTTTGTATTACTGAAACAAGTGCAATTATTTTCCTAGAAACGTGATACGTAATGTAATTTCATTTCGAAATAATACACAAGTATGCCTTGTGTACCTGGAATGATCTATATACAACTACTACTACGACACTCCAATCTCATCTACGGAGTGCCGTAGTTACCCAGCTACACCGCGTATAGTACTAAATAGAGTGTTACACCAATAGTAACCCACCAACACGGAGTACCGTATTTACGCAGCTGCACCTAAAGTACTACGCTGACAGTTACACAGCTACGAAATGACTTAGTTACCCGACTACATCACGTGTAGCACTACTTTAAGAGTGCTACGCAAAGAATTACACAGCTACGGAATGACGTAGTTGCCCAACTTCACCATATGAAGCACTACTTTAGAGTGCTACGCTACGCCAGTAGTTACATAGCTACGGACTGCCGTAGTTACCCGGCTATAACACGTTTAGCACTACAAAGAGTGCTACGTCGATATTGAATCAGCTATGGAGTGCAGAAGTTAGCCAGCCTTACCATATGTAGCACTACAAAGAATGCTACGCCGATATTGAATCAGCTATAGAGTGCCGAAGTTACCCAACCTCACCACATGTAGCGCTACAAAGAATGCTACACTGATATTGAATCAGCTACAGAGTGCTGTAGTTACCCAGTTACACCACGTGTAGCACTATACAGTGTGTTACGTTACCGCATAACTTCGACGACACTGCTTCGACGCGTCATTGGTTAGCAGTTTACCAACAGTCTACAGTCTACATAGTAACGAAACGAAGATCTCATATTACTATAATAACCATAAAGTAATTTTATTTTATTTTATGGAATAAGGTGGTAATAGAGTAGACTGGTCTGGGTTTTTGTGCAATTGTCTAATCGGTATCAACCATGAACACTCGCAATATTAAAAGAGTTTCAATTTAAATGCGTTGCCGTTGTGCGTATTGGAGATGATTGGGGAGGATTAGGCCTCCGATAACCTCACTCAAACGGTGAAGCACAATGCAATGCAATTTATTTAGAGTCAATTTTGCAGCATGAAGCATTGCTCTCGCACGTTGTAAATCAGTAAAATCACGCTACAATTGCTACAAATTTGAAATTTGTATTTATTCGTGGAACAACACCTTATGTGATACATACACAAATTGTTGTTCCGAGTTTAGAGCGAATCGAACCCGCGACATATGTATTGTACAGCAGTCAGTTGCCAGCCACTGCACTAACCGCATTCAATCCAAAAACTTTCACTTTTTACCGACTTAAAAAAGAAGGAGGTTCTCAGTTTAGTATGTTTGTGCGCGATTATCTCGCGATTGGCTGAACTGATTGTGATGCGGTTTTCGGAAAAGTGATTCTGAGACGGTTTATCAATTAACCGACTTTAAAAAGAGTATGATTATCATGTGGTTTATGGTTTATATATGGGTTTTGCTTTTACACGGCATTAGGACATACGTTTACCGTTATAAGGTCCAGAAGATAATATCGTAACATTAAATGATAATTAGCAGACTACAGCTGTCCAAGGTCGAAGGTGGATCATCATATAGGTACCGAGGCCGGCGCGAAGTAGTAGTTGGAACGAGGTGGTTTTTAGTCGGTAGCGGTCTGACACGCCCCCCTACTTTCCCAGGACGAGAGGAGTTAGTTGAATAAAATCAATCAAATCAAATGGCACCAGGTGATCAAAAAGGTTCAAACAGTTACCAGAAAAATATAAAAAAAAGCCAAGATATACTTATAGTTTTTAATTTACAATGACTTAAGTGTTATTCACGAAAAAATTCATCCTGTGCCAGTCTTTCGGCTCTTGCTGCTACAATTCTTTATTTTTTCCTCTGTATTTTTGCTTACGTTATCCTAATTAATGCTTCAGTATTATGAAATCCCATTCTGGGTCTGGGTTGCAACTGCTTTAGTGGTTTTTTTTTACCGTTGCCCCACACTAGGCTTTTCTTCTGTGTCGTGGATGCGTTTACAAACCTAGAAACAAGTTTAACAAATAATATCATTTTTTGACGAACCAAATATTTACAACTAGCTTTTACGGCGGCGTCGCTCGCGTCACAAAAGGATAAAAAGTATCCTATGTGACATACCTATACCAATACACACAGCGCCATCTATACCAATAATTTCGTTTTCTCTCGAGAATATCAAATTTTACTGAGATAAAAAGTACTCTATTATTTAATCCAGACTTCTAACTTTACGTCTGCAAAAATTCAAAGCAATCGGTTTAATAGTTACGGCGTGAAAGCGGAACAAACAAACAAACTCACTTTCCGATTTATAATATTATAAGTAAGGATAAACTTTTCAGGTTACTTTAGTGAGTGTTCTGAAAAAACATATACTGAACTGAAACTTTGTAGTGGCAAATTATAATAAAGTTGGCACATTTAATAAGGATTCTAAAATGGTATACAGTGGTATACCAGGGAGTGCCCTGGATTATTGCTTAAATTTGACACAAAACAATATTTTTCAATGAAACTCCGTTTCGAACAATTTATTTCGACTTGCTAAAATTTACTCCTGTGTCGTGGGTGCGTTTACAAACATACAAGTTCACATACACATGACAACCAGATCCGAAACAACAATTTCTGGATCACACAAAGTGTTGTTCCATGCGGGAATCTAACACGCGACACGTTGCACGGCAGCCGGTTGCGCAACCGCACCAACCGTGCAATCAAAAGAAGGTTTAGAACTGTTTCTGTATTTTCTGATAACTCTTGCCGATCACCTGGTTTCATTTGATCGTCGACTTCCGGCACATCCTGTATATTGTAACAATAAAAAATACAACTGCTAAATCTTTTCACATTATTATCACAATTACTTCAGATGCTTTATTGTAGCAATATCGATCATTATTTTGCGTTTCCTAGCACCTTTAGAAAGAAAAAATATATCCTTTGGGTAATTTTATTGTATCTTGACGTGGTAACCCATCAGCCATCACACACGCACACATATGTAAATACACCACTGACATTTTGGTGCTTCAATTATTTTTATGTGACACTTTTTTTAAGGGGGGAAAATTATCGAATGACTCCTCCCGCCTGGGTGAGTGTGAGTGAGGATGAGTGTCAGACTCTTACTGACTAAAAACCACCCCGTTCCTTCTCCTACACGTCGAGTCGAAGCCCCGGTAACCCGTTAGGTTCTCCGATGTCAGTCTTTTTTCAATGTCTTTAAAATGATTTAGTAATGACATGTTTGTTAGCCTAAGTACTTAAGCCTTAGAGTATTTAAACCAACTAAATAATTCAAGTAGTTAGCCGATCTGCAGTTACGGTTGAAGAAAAAAAAATCTCTCTTTCTCTCTCTTCTATTTATCATATTTACAATAAGTACAGGATTATCCATATATAATAGCAACCAAAAACCACTTAAACTTGTGCTATCACGAATAAGTATAAGTATTTTCTCTATTAGTTTTAGTTTTTAATAGAGTTTGTCTATTTAAGAATGACGACGAATATTTGTGGATCTAACAACATTAAAACCATGACAACACTCAATGAAAGTACGTTGATTTAATGTACTCAGCTGTGCGTTTTCTGTTAAAAAGGTAATTAAATTGAAGTCAATTAAACACGCAAAAGAACGATTCAGAGTGGAGCTCGACTGATTTTACTTCAAGTTTAAAGGTTTTTCAATAGAACAAGTAACAGGACAAACAAAGTTTTGGCTCGAACAGTGTCTATGACGATTAGTAATCGTATGTCTGTTTATATTTTATCTGCCAGAAGCGAAAAGCCTACAAAAAAAACGATTTTATTTCTAGAATCAGGATTATTTACATTGCACATTTATTTATATGTTCGTTTTGGATTTTATTTTACTGGTACTTACGACCTGTGGCGCCCTCATTAATGTTCATTAATAAATAGACAAACAGTAAGTTGTTCATAAAAGTAATGTATTAGTAAATAAATGAATAAATAATTATTAATCTATATATATAAAAGAAAGTCGTGTTAGTTACACTATTTATAACTCAAGAATGGCTAAATCGATTTAGATGAAAATTGGTGGGGAGTTAGCTTAGAACCAGGAGACGGACATAGGATACTTTTGACCCAATTCATTTTTTTAACTTTTTACCGAAAATCAAGAACGGGAACGGGAAATATCGGGATTGCGCGTACGAAGTCGCGGGCAGAAGCTAGTTAGAAATAAATAAAAAATGTTAGCAATAATGGATATACCAATCATAGAGTAGGTAGATTCTTTCCATATATCAAGGATCATACTAAAAAATTAAAAGCTTAAACTGTCACTTCTGCACAATGCTCACAACTGTCACAATCGGCACATATGTCAAATTTGTTCAATTTCAAGTAAGTTCGCTCGTTAAAACTTTTTTTTTGTTGTTCTGTAGATAAGTAATTTTGTGTCCCCATTATTATGAATAATTAAAAGTATTGTTTTAACTTTAAAATTGTGTCAAAATGGCGAAATGGAAATTAACTCGCCAACAATTTGGAGCCGAAGAGTTCACCCTTTCTGAAGGCGATACGGTAACTGTCGGCAGAGGCAATAACAACAATATAACACTTTCAAGCGCTGTGATATCCAGGAATCACTGTGTTATACATGTACACAACAATAGAGCACTACTAACAGACCTGCAGGTACCAGTCACATTATGTTATAATATCATATTAAGTTTTGTTTGTAATGTAAAAAATCCCTTTATTTGAGTCTATATTAATATTTATTTATTTATTCATGAATTTTATTGCTCTAAGGGACTATCATTGAAAATGATCTATAATCATGTGACAAAGTCTTGCACATTAGATTATTTATTAATTAAATTTTTATTAGATTTTAATAACTGTCACACATTAATTTTTTACTTTATTTAGTAATTTGCTCAAAACTTAAAGGATATACATATGTATTTGATATACTGTGCAAGTACCAAATGCCATGAAAATGAGGGAATGTCCTTCAGAATTTCCTCTGACTCATGGTGAAACTACATGTAAAACAATTGATTTGTGAATGTTATATTATATCACAAACCGTTTGGAACATAATGTCATATACAGTTCATGACTACTGTGAATACCAGCATAAAGTTTATGATTAAGGTTGAATTTCCTAGTATTTCTAAATTACATTCTAATCTGCACTTCATAAGCTGCAGTAAGATAATATGCAATATGTATTTGAAAAGCTAACTCATTCTATAACTATAACTTATTATTTATTGCCTTTGTGCAACTTGCCACCTGCAAATTTATTATTAGCATTTATAAATATTTTATTTTAATAACATTCCAGAGTTCTAATGGAGTGTATGTAGGTAGTATCAAGATACCTCCAAATACTCCATATGTAATTCAAGATTCAGATGTTATTGGGTTAGGATGGACTATGGCAGCACCCCTCGTCAATATAAATGACACTGAAAAATATGTTTTCAAATTCATCAAAGAAAAACCAGGACATTCCATTACAAGCAAAATTAAATTTCAAGGTGATAATGATGATGACATAGAATCACGAGTAGCTATGTTAGATGCCATTGTAAAGGAAGAAAAGCCATTTATTGTAACAGAAACGAACAAATCACCTGTGTTAAATAACAAAATACCACAAAAGCGAAAAATAGAAAATAATAAAATTGCTGTTAAACAAGAACCCAAGAGCAATAACATTGACAATATCAATGACATTCCTAACATAGTTCTATCTGATAGTGAAAATGAGAGTGTTCAACCACTCAATCAGGGTGCAAAAAAACCAAAGCTTGAACCAGTATTTGAGGAACAACAAAAACAAACATCCAAGGATGCTTATATTAATATGAAGAATGAAAATGAAAATGAAGTAGAATTTGCTTTCAATGTCAAACAAGAATACATTGGATATGATGAACCAATACAGATTGATGACAGTGACAGTGATAGTGAGTCTGAGCATTGGCTAATGCGACTGTCACAAAGTTCACCTGGAAAACCATTTTTGAAATCACCAAAAAATAATAAAACTGAAAATTTACAAGAAGATTCATATAGCCAGCTAGATGATTTTCTTTGTGATGACTATGAAAATGAAGATGTTCTGGATGATCTAATATCTCTTCCTATAGTACCTCCTAATCAGGATTTAAAGGAAATAGCTGATGAAGTTACAAGTAGTAAAGTTCAAGAAGAACATGCGCAAGAGTCAAGTGATGATGTTGATTCTGAGGAATTGTTTGAAGACATATTACCAAAACAGACTTCATCTAAAGCTACAAATGAAGATGAAATTGATAGTTACAATATTGAGGAATTATTCAAAGAAGTAGACAGCATTCTTAAATCACCTTTACCTGGTGATTCATTGAAAAAGGCTCGATTAATAGAACCAATTGCTTTATCATCAAAGAATAAACCAAGTCGTCTAGTTGTTGAAGGTAAGTTCATAAATACCTATTTTTAAATATAATATTGTCTTTCTTATTTGTGGGAAACAGAAATAAAGAATGTTGTGCCTACTTTATGATTACATCGGATAGCGGATAGGATACATATATTTTGTATAAAGTATAAAATGAAATAAGTTCATAACATGTTATGTATGACACTATATATTTATGTTTTGTTTTAGTTAAACCCAAAAAGTCTTCTACTAAGCATACCAAACAAAAAACTTCAACTACTTCAAAACCACACATATCCAACAGTCAAAAGGAAGAACGTAAAAAGAAACTAAAAGAAATAGCTTGTAAAAATAAGGAAACAGAAGCAAGAAAAAGTAAAGACGCTGTAGGTGATAGCAAACCAGTAGCAACAAATGTGAAGGTCACAACTACAAACCGGGGAGCATTTTTAACTGATGATTCGAAAGTTGTAGCAAGCCAAGTTAATAGGAAAGAACATAATAGGAGTAAGGAAAAAAGTATCAATTCATCACCAAAACCTAAAGAAGCTAAGAATAAGGATGCTACTGAAGATGTGGAAAACAAAAGAAGAGATCCAGACAAGTTAGACAAATCAAAAGACAAAAGTAAAAGCTCTAAGCACAAAGATCGTAGCAAAACAGAGCACAAAGCAGACAAATGCTCAAGTAACCCTTCTGTGAAAGAGACAAGGGTACCTCTCAAAAGTTTGAAACCATTAACAGAAAGTGAAGAGTCTATTTCTGGAAAGCCAATATCCAAAGTAGGTCCAATGAAACCTGACAAATCGAAGAAGAAGGTACGGTTTTCGGAGAATGCGCCTCAGGTGCTAGTATTTGAAATTGAGCCTGGGAACAAGATGAAGAAAACTAGTTTAGTTAAAACGACATTGGTGGATGTGCGTCAATCACCCGTATTTTCATTAGAGAAGATAACTCTAATGAAAATTCTTCGCTGGAACCCGCAATGGTTAGAAGAGCAACTGAACAACAATGACCCTCCGCCAATCTTAGGTCACAATAAAATACCTATGTCAGTTTTCCACTCATTTGTGAACCACAATCAGTATGTACAGTAAGTAGCTCTTTTTATTACTTTTCCAAAAGTTTCTTAGTCCAAAAGTTTTTACAATAAAAACTGATATTGGAGTTTGTGATAATCAATTAGTTTAAAAATTATTGTCGCGCCTCATGTTTACTCCTTTAATTGGAATTATATGTCAATTTGGGTGTACCACACACATACATAAACTCGAACCGAACAAAATATGCTATTGTTTCCCTTATACATATTATTGAACTTTGGTTTCTTTTATTCTTAGTTATTTCTTTAAATTCAAATATTTTTTCAGACTGGTTGGAGATTTACTTTTGATGGAAATTTGGGAATGTTTAACTATAGCATACATGAAAATACGTAATCAAAATATGGGATTAGAAATGAGAGTCGAGTCATTGCCACCCATACCGCCACAAGAACGTTGCCTCGAACTTTTCAATTTGAGTGTTAACAGTAAGTAACTTCGTAAATACACCCTTATTTTGTTAATACATATATGCATTTTTTTAAGGGGGGAAAATCATCGAATTACTTCTCCAGCCTGCGTGAGGCGGAAGGGAGTCTCAGACTCTTACTGACTAAAAACCACCCCGTTCCTACTCCTAGCCGATTATGGCGTTTCTAATGCTACTTTAACTACACACGACAATGTTATACCGCACTACGCCATTTAAAAATTTGTCCAAAATGTTTTTCAGATTAAATGCGACGCACATTCTTCCTCTTCCCTATTGTCTCTAAATTATACAATATAGTTTTATCGCACTTTTATGACTTATGACGCTTCCTTCTATTATTTTATTTACTCAAAAATATGGTATATATTTTTTACAGTTTCCGTGCCCGCAGCTGAAGCTAAATTTAAAGTTCCTAGGGTAGGAGAAGTACTTCTAGTTACTTTTGGACCGGAAAACGCGAAAAATCAAAGGTTCTTTTATGTGCACAATGTGAGAAGTCTACCATCTCCTTCAAGTAAGTTTGTTCAAAGCACATTTGCTAACGAGAAGAGTGTCTTAGGTGTTTGGTTTAGTTAAGAGACAAGTTGATGCATACTCCATATGATCTCTATCAGTTAAACTAACAGAAACTGACCAGCAATAGTGACACAGACCTTCATTTAAATATAACATTGTGTGCATTGCTAAATTTGCATGTACAAATAATCTAAACTATGCTGTTGGAATAAATTTAAGTTGTTTATTGTTTAACGAGACAATGACTCAGTTGGTGGTCATATCCATATGTTTTTGTTAATGTTTTTCATCAGTTACGTCAAAATTATCCATAACAACGACACACTATTTAATAATCCCATTATCATTAAGTGACGAGCCTTGCTTAAATATCGAATTACTTTTTTCAGGTAATCGACGCGCATTCTTCAGTGTCTCATTACACGCGACATTTGCGGATAAATTGAAGTCACTAAAACCAGGGGAAGTAATGATAGGACGGAGTTTAGCTTTCATAAACAAAGAGTTACAGTTATTCGAAGCTATGGAACACTTAGCAGGATCTCCTCTAAGTGACGCCATACTCAGGCCGGAGCCGCATCATTTTACGAAAACCCAAGAAGTTCCGCCACTTATAAATACTCAGGTTTGTATTTGCATGAAAGTTGCATTTTATCATTTACTAGCTAAAGTTCTATCAAACTTATTACATCATCGTCGGCCACATTATCGCATACCACCAGGTACGAGATGGTGGCCAAACGCCATCTTATTAAAATTTAGAGAAAGAACTCGCATCAAAATTCCGCTTTTAGTAGAACTTGAAGTTGAAAGCATATTTTAGTATTACACATTTTACTTGTATCTTACTGGAATATAATACTGTACGGTGCTGGTTATGGTCAAGTGTTAGGTATTACACACGACGAGTGCTGAGAATACACTGGTTTATTAATCTTAACACATTGGATTATAGAGGATTATGATTACATACTGCCTCGGTGGCCGAGTGGTCGCAAGTGCGACTGCCAGGTCTCGGGTTCGATTCCCAGGTCGGGCAAAGTATCAGTGGGTTTTTTTAAAAAAACCTCAGTAGCAGCATGGAGTCTGGAGTTGTGCCCAGTTATATGGCAATAGGCTCACCCCCTATTACATGGGACTCGTAACATAAATAATGAAAAGTGGGTGTTACATTGTACTGATTGTACAGTGGCATAATGTACACCTCTGCCTACCCCTTTGGGGATAAAAGGCGTGATGTTATGTTATGATTACATACAAAACCATAGGAATTAAGAGTACATACAAACAGATTTAAAATAATATTTTCGTTCGTTCGTTTATCTAATAATACTTGAATGTACAGTTTGGCCTCTGTACGTGTTTTAATATCGCAATCAAAATATAGAAAACGTTAATTACGGTATCGATGTATTTATTTAAACTCTTATGTACACAAAATTAAAAATTATGGTACATAAGTCCGACTTAATGCCTTGTAGCATTCGCTGCTGCTGAACCTCGGGGTCAAATAAAAATAGCTTGTGTAGAAAAACAGGAAAAATATAAATAATTATAAATGTATTTCTATGTATCTGTGACAGTGGACAACGACTCTAAATCCGAGTCAGCTGGCAGCAGTGAGTTCTTCGGTGGCGGCGGCGCTAAGCGACCGGCCTTCTATACAAATGGTACAGGGACCTCCGGGCACTGGTGAGTAATCTAAAGTACCTGTACTTAATGAACCGAACAAGAAATCAGGCATACATAGGCAACATAACTAGTAAAATAATTTATTTTTAATAACAATAGGATCGAATTGTTTTAGTGTCATTTTCATCACTAGCACTAACTTAATATTTTATTTCCTCAGGCAAATCAAGTGTTATTTGCGCGATCGTGATGACGTACTTCTATAACGCGCAAGGCAAGAAGCAACAGAACAGAGGCAAACTGTTGATATGTGCTACAAGCAACGCCGCGGTCGACGGACTAGTCGTTCGATTACTAAACCTAAGACAAAGTTTACCTAAACGTAAGTATATCACAAACTTATTATTATTATTTTCCTATGAAATGTTCAATGAAGGCTTAATTTTTGCGCTCACAAGATGACATTAACTTAGCATAAAGTCCTGTTGTCTTATACACTGCCAAAATTTTAAAACCAATGACTGAAAATTAACAAATAATCTAGTTTCATGTTGAATCGGAGTTTTGATAAGAAAACCATGTAAATAATGTTGAATAATTGTTGGTAGCGGAGCGGTTTCGGATGGTACGTGTAGGACGTGAGGAGGCCATGCATCCCGAGGCCGCCAATATATGCTCGCAACAACTGGCCAAGCGGGACGTAGCCAGGATACACTCCGAACAACCAAACGCACCCAGTGGACTCAATGAGGAGGTACTTAAACAATAACAATACATTGACGTATGAACATTTTCTCAAAATGTAATCTCGTTTCAACATTACAGCATGAAAAATGTATATAATACAGACTAAAACAAATCAACTTCAACAATCAATTACTTCAAATTAATATGACCAACAATAAGATATCTAGGGTTCAAGACCACTTTCTTCTCTAAAGCATATACTATATTTTACCAGATTCTTCATGTCGAAGCAAAAATAAATATGTGGAAGACTCAAGAGAAAGACGCGAAGGATCCATCTCGAGTGGCCTACTGTCAGGGACGGGTCGCTGATCTAGAGAAAAGGATGGCATTGGTAGGCAAACTATGTATTTTATTTTTTATCCTATAGTTTTTAATCTTAAGTTCGAGCTGAGTGGATTTAACAATCACAGATCATGAACCTGATGCACAGGCGCACTAAAGCGGCTTCTGGTATTTTAACCATTAACTATTTAAGATTCGTTACAAAAGATCGTAGCATATAAAAAAAGCAATCTTTGTTGTAACACATAAATTATTGGCCACAGTTAAGATCGGGAGGCGGACGAAGTGGCGCCGGAGATACGCTCAGTTCAGAGCAGTTTGCGCAAGTGGAACGACGTATCATAGATGGCGCTGACATCATCGTCACTACGCTCGGCAGTGCGCAGAGCTACAAAATGAGAGGGTTAGTCTTGCCACTCTTTCTATATTTACTTATTCTTTTTCACTTGTATATTTTGGGATTTACGTTTTTTATTCTTAAATATTTGTAATAATATAACTTCGAGCTTCAAAACTATATTTAGTGAGTTGATTGTATAATGTGCATATTATTTGTTGTAGGCTGAAACGCCGAATAGCGTTGTGTATAATAGACGAAGCGGGACAAGTTATTGAACCCGAGACGTTAATACCACTCACACTTGACGTGACACGACTCACACTTATCGGAGACCCCCAACAACTGCCCGGATTCATCTGTTCTCAGGTACGTTCATTGATCATCACTTCTTTTGCTACAGAAACACAGTTGTGTATCTGTAGTAAAAGAAGACATCCCCTGCTGAGCATAGGCCTCCTCCATATTCACTACTCTATAAGTATCTAGTATTCATATTCATAATCATGTCATTTTATTACCCTGCAGAGAGCAAAGCAACATGGTCTTAACGAGAGTCTGTTCTCTCGCCTGAGTTCATGCTCGGAGCACTGGGCTGGCGGCAGCCCCGTCGTACTCCTGAACCAACAATATCGCATGCACCCCGACATAGCAGACTACCCCAGCCGAGCCTTCTACAACGGCAAAGTCATGAACGTACCGCCTGTTAGACCGAGCTTACCTATACCACCGTATAACATCGTCGCAATATCCAGTGGAGACAAAGCACAAGGTTCGGATATGATGAGTTTACTAATAATATCTATATCCATAAAAATAAATAATATATTTAATTTGTATTAGTTCTTATACGTAAATATTGATTTTCCAAACACAATGAGAGAATTTTAACCTTCATGGAATAAACTTCGCAACTAAAATTCTTTGTATGTGTGTGAACAGGAGTGAACGGCGCTAATGAGATGGAGGCGTGGGGCGTGACCCGCCTCGTGCTAGCGCTGTCGCAAGCGCTCCGCCCCGCCGGAATGCGCATCGCCGTCATCACGCCCTACAACGGACACAAAGACCTCATCAAGAGACATCTCAAGACCTTAAATCTGTACGTGTCGAACTTAAGGCTTATACACAAAACTGCGATGCGTCTCCCTGGGTGACCATTCCTTCGACGACCGTCAACCGTACTAAACGTATTTTAAATTGAAAACTAGGTTGTGATATGGATCGTAAAAAGAAGTCTTTTATTGCTTAGGAGATACAGGAAAAATAAACAAAGAAGATTTTGGGAAGATATGGTGCGCGATGCGATCAATTCGCTAGTTCTTGCAATGCGTAGAGGGAGCTCGCACATTTTGCGATGCAACGTCGCATCGCAGTTTTGTTTACGACCCTTATACCACCTCCTTTATCTACATGAAAAAGAAATCGTTTTGTGTGTCCTTCCTAAAGATTTTTGAAAATATTAGACAAGACTTTTTGACTATTTTATAGCAGACGATACATTAATTTGATATCTTATGACATCCCGCCTCTATGCGTTTATACTGGACAGTGACATTAGACTCCCTTGTTTTAAAATTTAATTTAACTAAGTAGTAACTGTTCATCATGCCACAGGAGTGAGAGTCAAGTAGAGGTGAACACGGTGGACAGCTTCCAAGGCCAGGAGCGCGACGTAGTGGTGGTGTCGCTGGCGCGCAGTCAGGGCGTCGGCTTCCTCACGGACGCCGGCCGCATGAACGTTATGCTCACTCGCGCCCGACACGCCATGCTCATCTGCCTCAACCCACATGCTCTCCTGGTAATATTATAATACTCTCTCACTCGTCTGGTGTCTACACCTTACCAAATAGACACAATTAAACTACAGCTTATAAATATTTTTCAAAAAGAACGGCTTGTGACTTTTCTGGTTTTGCAGGTATGGGTGGCACTGATCGCTTACTATAAGTGACGTGTCCGCTCGTTTGACCCTATTCCGTAAGAAAAAAAATGGATGTCAAGAAAAATATTTAGTCAAGTTTAAATTTTTTGGACTAATTTTCTTACATTCAATATATAATATATAAAATATAGTTACATATTTTTATATATAATTACTAACATTTAATATATAATTTTCTTACATTTAATATATTATAAAATTTAATTAACAATTACGTTTTTGATAATTCGTCTATTTGTCCTTTGATTGGTTTCTTAGGCAATATAATTATCGGGATATACAGTATGTATAATAATTTACGTTTTAATCATTTGTCCTGTTTACAGAAAAATCAGCAATGGCGAACGCTTGTAGAAGATGCGCAAAGAAGAAACATGTACAAAGTGCTTCCACACAAAATGTGCCAACCGATAACGGCGGCACAACTACCCAGTGACAACATATTGGACTATGTTACCTATAGAAAACACAGCAATCACTCTCATCGTTAGTCCTGAACAGTCCTGGTTACAGAACTAACTGTTACAGTGGTTGTTGTGCCTCTTAGATGTCCGATACGAGAATGTTGATGAACGCTTTCTAGCGGTTTATTAGGCGACTCAAACTAACAATGATCGCGCTTTTTTTTATGCAAGCCTATCGGCTGCACATCGTTAAGCGAATTATGCCTTTTTTGGATGAAGTAAGTAGTACCTGTTGTTACCTGAATACAAAATTATTGTAAAGCAAATAATAAGACTCGTTCGAGTAGTTGCGAGTGCACCTGCCGAGCAAGGGGTCTCGGGTTCAATCTGCAGGCTGGGCAAAGTAGATAACAATTTTTTAAAGTTTTCATAATAGCATATACTTCGATTTTGATTGATGTATGGCAATAAACTCACCCTATAGAATGGTACTTATGTAACTGTTCAAATTATGGAAGTTACATTTTGCGTGTATCTTTGCCTACCTCCTTCAGAGAAAAAGTTCAATGCTTGCATTATTACATGACAAAACATTAAGGAATTACTTAATAGCTTTACTTTTAAGTTACAAGATGGCACTAGTTTTAAACTAAAATGGACTATGAAGTACGTAACACTGCCGTACGTACGTAAAATAGTAAGTAGTTATGAAAGTAAACGTCTGTTTATTTTCATACTTTTCAACCGACTTCAGAAATGGTTAGTTTCTGTTGTTATCTGTTGTTGTTGTTGACTTTAGAAATGAAATCGTTTTGTGAGACAGTCGTTGCGTCGATGTTAAATGAAAATGATTTAATAGCCAAATTCTGCACGAAATACGGTAAAGTCAGGATATATTTACCGTATTTTCCATTGATATTGTAAGACTGATTGATGAAAGGGCCGGCTGTGTGACGCCTTGTAAATATTGTTTGGATCTGGAAATTAAAAGTTCTCAGAGTTGTTGTTGGTAAAAAATCATACATTGCGTTATGATTAAGTCAGTAGGATTAAGTATTTTGTAGTAATTGTGTTACTCTGGCACTATCATCATCAGGGATTTTGATAACACAACAAAATTATGCTAAATATCTAAATTTGTATATCACTAACTCAAAACTTGTGAAACAGAAGAAATAAGATTAACCTTAAAACAGACATCTAGCGAAGATCTCTGAAGTAACTTTGCCCGAATTGCGATATTCAACGAGTTATTCTATTGTATTATTAAAATCCCTGATACTGGAGTGACACCGTAATAAGCATTCGTATTGTTTACTTCAATTTAATATATGAATATGGTACGAAACTTGCGCGCTTTGCAACTATGTATTATTAATTAATTGATGCTCTGCAAACTTGTTCATAAATCTTTATTAATGTGTGTTCCTATTAATACTAAATATCGTATATGCAGCTGCTTTACTCGTTGTTTTCCAATAGCTGCCAATTTGAGCACCTGCATTCATTCAAATATACTAACTATTAGGTAACTTCGGGCGGATACAATAGAGTTCGTCAATTATTTGTGTAACATTCCACCTTCCCACTCTTCTGATGAATGGTTATGGAAAATAAGTAAAGATTGCTATGGGGCGCTTCGATAGCTATCTCAATGTAGAAAGTTTGTAACCCACAAAATGTTGTTACAAGTCATAATTAAGTTTTTTGTTTTGTAATATTTTGGTGATTAATGAATTAATCATAAAACTTTTGTTTCCCATTAACGTTGTCTAATATTGAATTTGCTGTAATATTATCTCTTTTTAAGTTGTTGCTTTTTTCGTTTTGAATTTGTATTATTAAGCCAATGTAGCCTGTACCTTCAATACCAATCACTTAACAGACCAAACGATGCAGTTAAAATGTCACTCATTATTGTATATATATAGCACGTGAATAATGAGCTTTTTTCATGTACATAAAAATTTACATATGACTTGAGTATACAGACATGAAAATGTAACATTTACAAAGATAATTAAATAATTTTATATTGTTATATCAAATATGTAGTGAGTTTTATTTATTACAATATTCTCCCATCAGTGTAAATGCATTGTAGTTACATTACATAATAACTAACTGGGTACTCACTTAGGGGTGTAGCACGTAACGTATCAGATACGGTATCAGCCTGCAAGTGGGTACGGCTCGTCCACGGTCCTCCGCATATCTAGCTACGAGCTGCCGGATCCGCAGTGCTCGCAACGACGTCACGCTGACAACATGTCAACCATCCACTTTCAGATGGTTTTTGTATTAATCCTTATTTTTAAGGTCCCACAGTCTGGAGTACTCTGGTAAACCTCAATTAGATTTAACACTTTCTTCAGTCCACTCCATAATGAATAATTGAATACCTACGTAAAATTCGTTTGAAGCTCACGCGTACGTACCGTAAAATGGGGTGAATAGGGACAAATCTGAACTTTATAAAGAAAGTTAAGGCGTTTTTTTATAGAAAATTTGCTGTAAGGCGATTGTAATAATTGAGTCGTGATGGTATCTTTGTGATTAAACATAAATTATGCAATTAGCATTTCAGTTCATGCATAAAAAAGCTAAAATATAGCCTATCCCTATTCACCCAGAAATTGGGGTCAATCGGGACGAAAATAAGGCCAATAGGGAAATTCTCTAGGGCTGCCACTTGTGTAGGTACCTACCTAATAAATTATAATTTCTAGCTAACTACCATTTTTTTTGTATTTTAATTTATTCTACATTATTACTTATTGCCCCTATGTAATTCTTACATAATACTAGTTTCTGATTATTTAATAGCTATTTAGTCACTGAAATAAAATCCACTTTTACTTCCATTATTTATTTAATCAACAAACCTTTTGAAAATTATTCATTAATGAACATGGTATACACGCGAGGCATATCTGATAAAATTAATTTGCATCATTGTATATAAAAATTTCTACTCATTATATCAACACTAAAATAAACTTTCGGCTCCGCCCAGAGCAGGAGGTGTCATATAATAATTTCCCATCCCAAAAAAAAATAATGTACCTACGTATTAAATGTGACAGCCAGTGTTCGTCAGTAATGTTGTCAGCCCAAGAAATAGGGGACAAGCCTACTAAGATACACCGGACACAATTTCGGTCTCCGTAAAATATTTCAAAATTCCAACAAAATTTGGGTCGACTCGGGAACCGATCCTGAGACTTCATGGTCAGCAGTTGCACTTGCAATAACTAGATTAACGACGCAGTGTAATACCTCGCTAATTTATGAAATAAAAAAATTATTATTACCTAGATTACACAATTTAAAAATGTTAAGTCTGCTTAGTGACAGCCCTATAAAGCTGTACCTATTCATACATAAGTCGTTCCTATTCATCCCATCCTCATCCCGATTAACCCCCCTTTCGTTGTGATTCATACCTGAGACGTCCCCATTCACCCCAAAAAATACAAATTTCGCATGGCATTCTAAAAATCTAAATTATAGTCATATTAATTAATAACTGATGCTTAACTTTCGTGGATATGACGGCCCAAACCCTAAATAAGGTATAAAACTAACACTCGTATTCGCTTAATACAAAATAACCTTTACACAGCTAAGTTTTATACACTGTAATAACCGGTATCTTGTCTATACTATTTTCAATTGAAATTTTTGATAGTTTGCAGCTGATTTCACACTTGTTCCATGTTGCCATAGAAAAGTTCCAATAATCTACTATTATCCCTCAAAAAATGGTAAAAGTTGGAACGATTTGCAAACTAGCATTTAGAGTTAAAAATGATGCCTGGTTTTTTCCCTATTCACCCCTGGATCCCTATTCACCCCATTTTACGGTACTCACTATACAAGCGGTTGTGACGCCGTCCACCAAAAGCTGGGTACCTACTCACTTAGCAGTGTAGCACGTACCGTATCAGATACGGTATCAACCTGCAAGTGGGTACGGCTCGTCCACGGTCCTTCACGTATCTCGCTACGAGCTGCCGGATCCGCAGTGCTTGCAACGACGTGACCCCGACAACATGTCAAGCATCCACTTTTAAATGTTTTTTTGTAATAATTCTTATTTTAGGATCCCACAGTCTGAAGTACTCTGGTAAACCTCAATTAGATTTAATACTTTTTCTTCAGTGTGCGTTACCCAGGCCAGATGTTGTCGAAAATGGTCATTTGCATCTTATAGATAATTAGTTGTGTGGCTTCTGTAATTGTTGCGCACATTTTTTAATTTGCGCTTATAGTTATTTAATTATTTCACAAAATCATTTCCTGCTGGGGTAACGTTACCCCAGCCAGATCTTTTTCTTTCTAATGGGAATATTTAAATAATTACTAGCTATAAAATTAGTTGTCTAGATGAAGTAAATGTGCCTTATTTTTTATTTATTCTTTCATTGATTGCGAAGTTATTCGAGATTTTTCTGGGGTAACGTTTTTGGTTTTGCTAGATCTTTGAAATGGTTAAGCGGATTACTATCATATTTTGCACATTGTTTCTTAGGAATTAGTTTATCTGATACGTTACGTGCTACACTACTAAGTGAGTACCCAGCTTTAGGGGACTCTCTTCGTATCTATCATGCTGTATTAAGGAACCAGACTTTCCTACCTATCATGTAAAAAGGTTTCAGAATCCAGCCAATATGAACTAGATAATAAAATCGCGGGCGGTGAAGATTTCCTATACAGAGACTGGGTCAACATCAGTATGTTGACACTGTGCAGTCACGGTGGTGATGCAATATGTAGATGCGTGTTAACCTTCTACTCTAAATGAGGGCCACAAATGTAATTCTATTAAAATTGTGCTTCACAGAACGCTTTAGTCCTGGCTTATGTATAGGTATTAATTATGAGGTAAATAAATAAAACAATTTTCTGTTTTAACGTTTTGTTCACTTAAAACTTGCGCCCATTGTTATATTAGTCAATTTTATAAATGTAAGATTTCTCATATATATGTCTGTCATATTGCAACTCTTGATTTGTATTACATACTAAATCATTTCCTAAAAAAAGAAACAAATTCATCACAACCACGTTATTCTAAGAAATGGATACCCTATTTGCTTCCACAAACATCAAATACTTTTTAAGTTTATCAAAATTAATAACTATTTCAGATAGTCCTGTAAATTATTTGAATGGGAAAAATAAGTGTTGTTGTGAGTGGAAATATATTATACTTTATTTCATATTTCTGCGAACCATTCCAAGTTATCCCAGTTTTGTTGTCCTTGTACTTATCCTTTATGGAGCATATATATAACATCATTCACAATATGTATTCAGAAGATGTACAAGTTATTGCAAGTAAATCAGTATTGTTACCGATTTCATGGAACAATAAAGCGTTTTGTAAATATAGTTAAATAAATACAATTACCCTCCCCAAACATATCACTCGTCTATCAATAACATGAGTCACAACAGAATTGATATAGTAAACATAAGTATATTTGTTGGTGTTACAGTTGTTTATTTATGATAACAAGAAAAAGGATAAAAGATATAATAATAAAGGTAGAATGAGTAATAATGAGTACCTGTTTTATTAACCATGGGAAGATAGTTACATATTTAAAAGGTAAGTATTTAAACTAAAACATAATTACTCTCAGTCATATTTTCATTACATTATACTATGATGGGGTGAACAAAAGAAAAATGTGTCAACAATTTGAGCAGTGTAAAATAAACTCATTTTATAACAGCTGCCCCACCTAAGTTCCCTTGAAATATAATGAAATTACACATACATAAATGTACAACTATATAAAATCACACTGTTAATGACTAAATAGGTTCAACAGTCAGAACAGTTATTGTATATAAACAGAATAATGTCAGGCATGAGTAAACGAACAGTTAACAAACAAATAAAATGCACTATACAGTAACAAGTCAGAAACCCATTGCTTATCATCTAGTACAACAACAACACCACTCGAGCAGTTGTTGACTCTTATGGTGTAAGCAGCTGAAGCCATACTCTTAATTATTTGCTTCTAGAGCAGCGTGTCGTAGTAAATGATCGCTTGAAAATATCTATATTTTATAAGGCTTTTTGTTATTATAAATAAGTTTAACTCCTTACTCTATTACATTTTCTGCGCCAATAACAATCAATTATCCTTATTGTAATTATAACTTAGTATTTTTTAACTACTTGAAGTATCCCCTTCGATTGCAGAAGAAAACCATGCAAACTAATGTTGCTATTGCTTAGATCACAATGTTTATAATTTAGCTATAACTATTAGATATTATCGTCTTGAGGTCAGTATTTGCGGTTACGGGTAAAGGGCTGAAACTGGCAGTTACTCATGTTTATACTTAATTTTTATTTTAAATATCCTTCTACTACAAAATATAATAATACTAATTTCAATGAATTGCTCAGATTGAACTGTATGGCAGTAGCAAACCAATGACAACAAATGTGTCAAAACTGTAACTGTTCATATTTGTGAAGGCTTATTAAACTATAAATTTAAGTCCATATGCTATCTATTTACACAAATAAGTGGAACCAAACCGGCCGCGGGTCAATGGTGCCTGGGGTAGTGGTGCCCATTGCTGTATCTGTAAATTAAAACAAGACATACAATGTAATGCTATGTAAGCAGATTATTTTAAAACCAAATCTTACAATTATTATACATCAATAATAATTACCTATTAAACCGTTTGTACTTGTTGCTGTGGTGTTTATTGAAATGGTGAGAGGGACGCCGCTCGTTGCGATATTTGTTAAAATTTCCGCCCCAATGTGGCTTGTTCTGTTTTTCCTGTGATTAAAATAACAAGAAGTAATATCTCTGCATAATAAGAAAATTATAATCTAAACACTAAACAAAACTTTGGTACTTTATTGTATAAGTTAATGCTTTCATCTCAAAATCTTTTATTAGACCAAAAACAAAACTAATGTTGGCTATATTACAGATGAAATTAAAATAATGTTAAATGTGGTATGTTTACCTGGAAAGGATTATACCCATTTCTGCTATTATTGAAGCGATTATTGTAGTGATGGAATTTCTTTACTTTCTTGTTGCGACCTCGATCCATTTCATCAGTTGCCTCGAGGGCACGCTTTCGCTCATCTCGTCGTTCCTCGAACACCTTAGACACAGTAATAAATTTAAGTATTTATGTTTTAGTCAATTAAGGGCCGATTTTTCATCTAATAAAAACTGTAATTTGTCAATTTTATTCTACAATTAAGAATTAACTGATGATTGAAAAACCGACCCTAAGAGAACTTACTATCTAATGTGAACAATGTTTACTTGAGTGAACTACTACTTCTTTACTTTTTTTTCCAATTCTTAAATAGAGAAAATAGCTAACCTGTCGTGAAAGGGTGCTGTGAGTTCCATTCCAAGAAGAAACAGGTGCACCATAACCACGATGTGAGACAGTCTGCAGATGCCGCATTGTCTCCAGTGAAGCGGGCGCGGCGGGCGGCGCGGGGCTGGGCGCTCCAGTACCGGTGCCGCCGTTAAGGCTGACCGGCCCTGACGTACCAGATGACGCGCTGATGTTAGCCTGACCCGTACCACTACGGTCGCTCAGAGGAGACATGCTACTAACACTTGTGTTCGGACTTTGGTCATTTTCTGACCGCCGCTCCTCTTTTTCTTTAACCCTGAATAAAAAAAATATGTTATCATTAAAAGATATACCTGCACAAACTGTAGACTAACAAAATAAACTTATTAATATATGAAGAAATAGATTGAAACGCACTTTTTGTTGGTAACACCATTAAGGCTGGGACTGAGTAATGGACCACTGTTCTCGCTGTGAACGGTCCAGGCGTGATGCATGCTCTTGGTGGTGACAACTAGCGCGCGCGGCGACTCACATCGGCTAGGCTTCGGTCGGCGACCGTCGTCTCTTCTCGGTCCATCTTCGCTTAATCGGTCATTTCGTTCATCACCACTTGATTCAGAATCATATGGCACCAATCTCGATCCCGTGCAGCCATTTCTCGGCGATACACCTGATGAGTCACTTCTATTCATTTGCTCTTCAAGTTTTTCTAATGGCGACTTAGGCGTCCTCACAAACTTGCTTGTCGACGCAGATTTCTCAATTGCTTTTGAATTTATAATTGACCTGAGATCAGATTCACTTTTAGATACCTTGGGTTTCACTTGGTTTTCGTCGCCATTCTGTCGCTTAATTGCAAAACTAATTTTTTTATCGTCTTCATCAAGTTTATTACCATTCTTTTCTATACCATTTAAAATCTTTGGTGGTTGTACAAGTTTTTCTACCTCACCATTTTGTTTTACGACCCATGGTTCAGGGTTGACATTATTAGATTCAGTTGACTTGCCAAGTGTGCTATTTAAAATAATTGGTTTGATATCAGGTTTAGCAACTTCTACTGAAGTGCTATTAAGAAGAACTGGCTTCCTGTCATCATTTCTATAAAACGTTAATTTCAATGGACTCTTTTCTCTATTTAATATGTTGTCCGGTAGCTGTGGACCATATACAACACTTGATGAAGATGCTGCTGAAGAAGATGCTTCATCAACTATATTATCTTTTTCAAAAAACATAATATAGGCGTTAGTGCCTAACACAGCCGACAGAGGTAAAGGTCGAACACAATTGTCATCAAACTGGTAATAATTCCCATTTGGAGCTTGTCCTATTGCAGTATAGTGACCACAATTTTGTGTAGGGCCAAGATGAGTGACTAAACTTACTAGTTTATATGACTGAAAAAGAAAAATCAAAACTTAATACCACATACCATTATAATAAAATTGATGCTATGATATATAAAATGATTACACAGATACATGTTATTTACTTCCACTTACCAACTGTTGCTGACTTTTGTTGTACATATATTTGCTAAGAGTGATCTTCTTCCTAAATTGGACATGTTTTGAAAGTTTCCCTCCAATCAGTGAGAACCGTTTTAATGCTATACAAAGGACCATAGGAGCACGTTCAACAAAAAATTGTTTAGTGGCTGAAACCTGGAAAAATTAAAGCATGTCTTAAATCTATTGCAAAGCCCAATATTGAAAGAAATTTCAATAAACAAGTTAGTGTACAACTTACTTTCTTATTGCATGCCTCACATTTGTAACCTAAGTCTTCTAACCTTTCTCGAGAAAAAAAGGAATCTAAAGCTTCATCTAATGTGGAGTGTTTTCTTATATCTAATAATAAATCCTGGAAAATAATATCACATTTAATTTGATATAAAAAACAATACAAACACCATTTAACATTCTTAAACTGTCAAACACCGAGCGGTCACCGGTGACCGCAACCTTTCTTTAATTGTGTCTATAATGACGGTACGCAACAAGTTAATTTTTCAATGATTGAAATAATAAAAGTATAGTATAATAAATAGAAGTAATTAAATAATGATTAAAATAATAATAACTGCGCCGCACGATGATAATCGATATCACTATTCCTCATGATGAGAACCTCTTGAAAGCTGAAAAAGATAAACAAATCAAATATCTTGATTTGGCTCACGAGGTTGTCGACATGTGGAATGTAGATTCGGCTATCATTGTGCCGATAGTCGTATCGGCCAATGGGTTAATCCCTAATAGCCTTGACAACCACCTTAGGAGGCTAGCGTTAGGCAGTTGGGTCAAGGGCCTGATACAGAAGGCAGTTCTCCTTGAAACGGCACGTATCGTGAGGTTTCTGTCTCTGGAGCCCTAACCACCGGTAGCTTGGACCATGCTCCCGCTCCTGGTCGGCTCCTATTTTTTATATTTTTAAATAATATTTTTATGTTTTTGTAAGTAGTATTTAAAAATGTAATTTATAGAGAATTTAAAATAAATATATGTAAAATAATAAAAGTATTTACCTGAAAATGCTGGTATGTAGTGGACAGGTGGTGGCATGCAAGACATCGGACTGTTGAGCGTAAGTATCCACCAAGAATCTGGTTTAATGGAGTAGTTTCTTTACTGTACTGATCAAACTTGTCGTGGTTGACAAACCGACTTAAATAGCATTTCTCCATGGCCTCCACAAGATACCTAAAATAAATTAATATACAATGAATGAGAAAACTAAAGTGAATGAAATTAATAGAGTTGTAAATTTAGTAAAAAAATTCTATGCTTTGTTCTATGTGCATTACCTTAAAAATTCATGAGCATCCTCTTGTCTGCCTGGTGTGAGGTGTCTGCATATAAGCCGTAGCTTGGAGTACACCTGCCAAGGTTTTATTGGCGCTCCACCACTTCTTTGCGTAGCCATTAATGCAGCACGCATCCCACATATCACACAGGCTTCTGTAATTTATAAATTGAATCTGTTAATATGTTACCAAGATGTATAATAAATAGATCTACTTCAAAAATTACATGTTAAATGGAGTTTATTATAAAGCTCACCTTGTTGATTACATTTCTCTGCATGAGTCACTTCCATGACTAGCCAGTTAGCCAAAGCAGGCACATGAAATAGAGCCTGTAGGGTGGAATTCAAATAGCATGTGTTACCCACATTCTGCATGCCAGCACCAGCAGCCCATGGACTTTGCCATCCCAAGTGAACTTTTTCCACAGGAAATAAAACCCTTTTTGGTTTAGGCAAGCCATCTTCCAAGGTTTTGTTACCATCTGAAAGGGTTTTTAAAAATATTTTAGTACAACTTCATTCTATAAAAATTATTTAGGATTAGTTATTTATCATTAGCAGTTAGTTTGGTGATAAAAGTATCTATATGGTTAAGTATCTATGTGGTTCCAATAATATTGGACAGACAATGGCCTTTCCAATTCATACAAAAACAGAATCTAAACAAGTTTCATATTATAAAACTGAAGAGCAATGAAGCTTAACTCGTTGAGTACCGTATTTATAGACTCAATTAAAAAACAATAGGTTGCGGTCACCGGTGACCGCTTGGTGTTTGACAGTTTAAAACAAAATCGGACTCAAAGATAATAGTGCTCTTTACAAATTGTTTACAAGGATAAATTATTACAACTTAAACAATATGCAAAATTATTCCCTAAGTAATTGAGTATATAAGTTTACAAAACATTAAAGAAATAATATTTATAATTAACATTTTAACATTCTAATAACTTACTATTTACTATTTTCGAGGTTATCAAGAGAAACGGGTTGGATGAATTTGGGTTATAAACAATAAACGTAAAGAAAGTACATACGGAAATTCTACTTAGAATTTCTTTTAGTGGTCACCCGTTTATTACTGGAGTTCCAGTACACTCTTTAAGAATGTACTAGTAAACTTTAAACGAATAGTTGCTGAAATACTGTTAAAAATTCGCTCAATGATTCCATGACGTTTATTGACAAGTGACCATAAGATATAACCTCTAAATTGATCTTATCGCGCATGTAGATAACAAACAAACCTACATTATTTAAATATCATAATCTTATGATTCATTACCTGATGCTTGGCCAGTAGAATTGCAGTCCTTTTTAAGCAGTTTACTATCATGCACTGATTTTTTAGGTCGGATCACCACGTACTTAGATTTCAGTCCTTCGAGAACATTGCTTTGATAATCACCAGACTCTTCAAATTCAATCTTGGACAAAAGAACGCTTTTAGCGGAAGAGTAAAGTCTGCTATCCAACAATGAGGAACTTTGAGAATCGTCTGGGGTAAGAGATAAACGCAATGCGCTTGTTACTGGGTCGCAAATGGAAGCGGGCATTTTACCTCCAAAATTGCACTATCACGTTATCAAAACACAAAGCACGTCATAATTAAATTTACGTATTTATATGAGGCAACAACAGAAATTTAACAAACCGCCTTACAACAACCCCATAAATATGTGTATTAGTAAATTAAATAGGCTGTAAAAGGAAAACGAAACGAATCAAATTCGCTCGACGATCCACGCACGACAACCCGTAATAATGTTGCCAAATTTCAAAGGCCAGTCAAGTCAAGGAAATAAAACTTGCCGGTTAGGTGGTGATTTTATTTATACTATTCTCCACTTTCTAATGATTATATTTGTTTTATTAATCATAATAAAAAAAACAATCAGCCGAACATAGTACATACCTCCTTTTTTTGAAATCGGTAAAAATAAATACGTATATCACAGCAGTCAACAAATAACGTGTTATTTTTTGCTATCGAAGTTATTTTAGTATTTTTTCTTTCATCAAACTATACAAAACAATTATTAATATGCCTAAAACCTAACTTTGGATTACCACACACATGTAATATGTGAGTAGGTATGGTGTGGGCCCACGGTGGCCGAGGACGTAAGGGACATAATGTCACTTTGAAATGATAGAAGCACCAAAATGTTACTGGATTATTTATGTGTGCTTATGTAATGTCCAGTGACCACCACGTTAACAGACTGATAGACAGACAGACAGATAGATATCCTTCGTGTCAATGTATGTACATATGTTCTGCGTGTTAGCGTATAGTAACCAGGTGCCACAGTCGTTGTTTTTATGTTCTTGTCTTATTGATTACTACACATTTGTATGTTTGTTGACTAATATCAGCAATGGTGTTTTATGGCAACTCTGTATAATTGTCAAATGGAGTGTACAGTAATATCATTCTATCTCTTTCCAAAGATTCTTTCATCTAGCTGTCTGTCTGTCACAATTTATCCTTTTATCGATTTGGAATTTGAAATAAAATTTAGGCGTTTTTCTAATATGAAGTTATAGTAAATGAGTATTGTGTTTATATGAAAATTAATAGTAAAGATGAATTTTTGGAGTGCACAGTGTTTTATGATTTTTGCAGGTCTGAATGTTTACATTATAAATTGTACATACTATTTCTAGCTTCTCTAAATAAATATAATAATATTAGCATTTGAATTTATTCAAACTCAAGTAGTTCATGTAAATGTTAAATACGATTACAATGATATGCAGTTTTATTTTAATTTGTTACCATAGCTATAATACTCCGTCAATACAAAATATAATGGAAAGTACATGTATGTTTATTTTAGTTCTCAGCGTGGTTACATCGTCCAGAGTGCTAGAACTAAGCGACAAATTTATTGATATAAGCAATGAGGGTATGTGGTTCGTGAAGTTCTATGCGCCATGGTGCGCTCACTGTCGGAGGATAGAACCTATATGGGCACATGTCGCCCAGTCACTCTACAACACTCCTATAAAAGTAGCAAAAGTTGATTGTACTAGATTTATGGCTGTCGCAACACAGTTCAAAGTCAGAGCATACCCAACAATCATGTTGTAAGTAAACATCCTTATGTGTAATCACAATATTGTGGAAAAGTCTACTTATCACTTTTCAATATCTTCCTTTATTGCACAGTATAAAAGGTCCCTATCGTCATGAGTATATTGGTGAGCGTGTTAAAGAAGATATGGTTAATTATGCCCTGCGGATGTCTCAACCTGCTGTTCAGAGGTTGTCACAGGCTGATAGTCTTGGGTATTTGAAGGAGACTCATCCAGTTTTCTTTGGATATGTAGGAAAACAACAAGGACCATTATGGGTAATTTCATAGTTAATCATTTAAACTTATTATATGTCTTACTGTTCAGTAAACATTAAAATAAGTTAATTAACTTAATTTAATGTCTTTAGTTTAATACAAGTAGTGTGTAAATAATTTATATGACACAATAAATGTGATTATGAATGTATAATTTGAAACTTGAAACGTTATGACTACTTGTGACTATTAAATTACTGACTAAGCATCTTCTAGAACAGTTATTATAAATTTATTTACATCACTTGAATAAAGTACCTATAATATTTTCCTTATTTACAGGAAATATTCACAATACATGCAGAAAAGTATCAACCACATACATGGTTCTATGCAATGTCACATGAACTCTTGAAAAATGATGTGAAAATACCAAATGAAACGGCTGTATTTGTTTACAAAGACGATGAGGCATACTTCTTTGATGGTATTTTATGTTTTTTTGTGTATTACACACACACACTACTCTCCTATTGGTCGTAGTGTGATATTTTATTGCCTTCCTCCATAACTGGATCCAACACAAAAAGAATTTTTCAAATTGAACCAGTTGTTCCTGATGTTAGTGCATTCAAACAAACTCTTCAGCTTTATATAATAGTATAAGATATTAATATTGTATGTTAGTAGGACTTGACCATTATAAATATAAGCCTTGATTTACAGCAAATCCTTCATTAATTGAAGATAAAGAAGCCTTAAATGTAACTTTGGATAAATGGATTAACTCTGAGAGGTTTGGCCTCTTCCCAAAGGTCACTAGATCAAACATAAATGAATTAATGGACATAGAAAAATATATAGTTATTGCAATTGTTTCTGAAAATAAATTAAATGAAATAACTCAAACAGAGAGAGACTTTAAAGACATGGTAGAGAGCATTATCAAGTATGTATTTTTATTCATACTAATACATATTATGATGATATGTTAGAAAATTTTTAGGCTTTTCCTCATTATTTTACCTTTTTTTATTCAGGAAGAGGAAACGAGATCTTCATCATAGATTCCAGTTTGGTTGGATGGGAAATCCAGAGTTAGCTAACTCAATAGCTATGTCTGAACTGACAATACCTCACTTGATAGTTCTCAACTCAACAACAGGCCACCACCATATTCCTGAAGATGATCCTGTTCTCATGACACCTGAAGCTGTTTCAATGTTCCTGGATCAAATTCATAATCAAGTAGCACCGGTAATACCAATATTATGTCTTAGCAAATAATAATAAAACATCTTTATTCATCTATAAACACCTAATTTTATCTTGTTACAAATATTTCATGAAGATAATATTGTTTTCTCCGCAGACATATGGAGGCAACAGTTGGCTTGTCCGTTGCTACAGAGGCTTTTTTGAAGCTAGAACTACATTAACGAACATGTGGAGAGGAAACCCAGTATTAACGGCCCTCGTGTTCGGTCTACCCTTAGGATTTTTATCGCTTATTTGTTACTCGGTATGTTGTGCTGACATACTTGATGCAGAAGAAGAAGATACTCCAGGTATTCTTTTATTTCATTTCTTACGCACAAGAATAAACCATATCAACATCCTGAAAGCGCATCATAAATTCACACGGGATTTCGAGACTTTAAGATCCTCTTAAATATTATTTTTTCTTCTACCAGTACTAGCAACAAGCAAACTCAATATAAGTCTCACTTAGTCTATTCCCATTTTTTTCAGAAACTCATGAGAAGAAGGATTAATGAAGGATAATAGTAAAAATGAGAAAAACTTTTAGTACTTTTACATTAATTGTGTGAAGAAAAGAAAATGTTTTATTGAATAGTCAATTTTGCTTTGGTACCAGTGATTGTCATGTGGCAGGTTGGGTGGGTGATGGTATGTTAATTTTACCAGATGTTACTGCACCTTGGGAGGAGTTCACAGATACAGTACCTACATACACACTGTTATCAATATTATAAGAAAGAAATAGGTGCTTATTTGTTTGACTAGTGAAGTTTCGAAATGGCTAACTCATTTGCAAAGTTCCTTTACCATTAAAGTTTACTTTCAGGGAGTAACATGTCTACTTTTTATCCCAGTATTCCCATAAGATCTCTTTTTTGTAATTTGTATTAGCAAAAAACATATTATAGTCTTTTAAAACTAATGATATGATATATGATCGTGGTGCGGATCCACTCCATAGATGTATCTAATCCTTTCTAGAGGCCTTAGTATGAGTTTCATTTACGTTTAAAGTATTCGAAACGAGTACGCGTTCGGCACTCTGATTGGCGGGCGCCAATGAACCAACCAATTAGAGCGCCGAACGCGTAGTCGTTACAATTATTTTATACGTAAGACAAACTTGTACTAAGGCCTCTGTTAGTATAATACGGATACCTAACTGTAATCACCACTCACCCACCGTTTTTACTAGCACCTAAGACGCCTTTTTGCGTAAGTCTGTAGCCTAATGACCCAAGCATCTAATTTAAGTGTCTTTTTACTAATCTTGATTAAAGAACGAATTTTTGTTCTTTACTGACCTTGTATTAAAACGGAATAATAGCTAATTTACTGGAATTTGTTAGCGACAGTTACCTAATGACCCAAATACTGTCTGTTGGCATTTTTTTCTAAATATTTATAGAAGTAGATAGGCAATTCCTAATAATCATGCTAATATCGTTCGATCTTTTTAAAATCATGTAATATAGGTACTGTTTTTATTATGCATGATCTTCCTTATGGTTTAATTATGGAGTTCAATATACTGTTTTTGAATTCCTTAGTCATAACTCATAGTATATTGTAAAATAAAATAAGAGATGTGTACCAAAGATTTTTAAGTACACCAAACGCAGTAATCAATTCATAGAAAAAAATCGATGAATGTGTGAAGGTGCACCATGAGAGCTTGAAAAATATTTCTTATAAAATGAATGATTATTTATCAAACAAATACCATACAAAAAACTATGTAACTAATGTACTTGTTTATGTTGTATGTATTTACTGTACTTGTTTACATTGACAATGGATACCTCAGTTAATTAAACGGAATTTGAAATAAAATAATTGAAAAGTTTAAATAGGTAGTTATTATTTTCTTACGCTTCTACATTTTCGACATTTCTTGAATATACAACGACATTTGAACTTGTTTGACATGAATTTTCAGCTGTTTATACCAAATTGCATACATTTTATGAATATTTTTGTTATAGATGTCTAGTGCATCTTCATCATCATTATTACCTTCGTAAGCACCTTTATAACTATTGGTATCATAATACTCAATCTTTTGGTTTATGCCTGATTTCTTAAGATTGGCTTTTATGTTTGATTTTATTGAATTAGATAGTATACTAGTTGGATCATCCTTACAACTATTTGAAATTTCTTCAAATGTCACTTTACTAGATGCTTGTTTTTGTTTACATTCAGCTTTGCACCCTCTCTTCTTTGGCTTGCTTTTATTGCAATTTGATCTTAAGATTTCTTTACTTCCCTCATTAAACGCAAAATCCCTAGCTTTAACTTTATTGTCTTTTGAAGACCCAAAAGATGTAGGAAGTCCTGCTTCTAACAATGCTTTACTTAAATCGGATTCATCCAAATCTAAATCACTTGGTCCTTTGGGGATATTTTCTTGTGGATATGCTGTTATTTCCATCTCAGAGTAATTTTTGGGAGCTTCCAAAATAATATCTGGCTTTTTGTTAATATCTGGTTGTGATGCAATCAATTTTGGCTTGTCGGTGAGTTTAATTAGTTCTTTAATATTTTTTAAGTTTTCGTTAATTTCCATGTCTATATTTTGTTTTAAAATTACATCATTTGATAAAGTTAAAGTTGGTTTACATTCATATTCAGTTTCACTTATTTTATCATATGGAAAATCATCAACATTTTCTTTATGGGTTTCATAAGAGGTTAATAAGTCATTAAAAGATTCAAATTCATTTTCTTTTGTTTGCTGAAACGAATTGTATAATGTTTCAAAACTTTCTGCTTCTTCAATGTGGTTAGAGGCCCCATTTGTTAGTCTATTCAATAACTCATGATAGGCTTCATTTTTTTCTAGCTCTTCATAATGCGAGGCATTTGCAGATGGGGCACATTCATCAAGAGTTATTATCGGTTCTTTATCCCAGAAATTGTTCAATTCTAATAAACCATTGATAGACTTTAGCATTCTTTTGAATTTCATTTCTTCTTCTCCTCTACTAAGTATAGTTACTGCAATACCATAAGATCCAAATCTTCCAGCTCTGCCTATTCTATGTAAGTATGTTTGCCAGTCATATGGAGGTTCAAAATTTACAACCAGATCAATGTTGGAAGCATCTATGCCTCTTGCAGCTAAATCTGTAGCTATTAATATTCTGCATTTATAATCTTGCAACATTTTCAAAGCACCTAAGCGATCATTTTGCTCCTGTTGACCATGTAACTTTTCAGCAGGCCATTTTTCACGAATGAGCATCCTGTATAAATCTCTTACTCGAACTTGATAGTTACAGAAAATCAAACATTGCTTAAACTTTCTTTTTGATAATATCTTGAGTAGTTCTCCAAACCTATATTGTGTTTGCCTTACAATATTTGTGTTACTGTTTACAATGGATACAAATTGTTTGATACCAAGAAGCACAGTAGAACTGTCAGGACACATGTGTTGAGCATTTTGCACATATTTATTCATAACAGCTTTTAATGTTTCAGGATATGTGGCACTACTCATAATTACTTGTTTTTCCTTAGGTAATGTTGTAAAAATATAGTTGATGTCTGCTTGAAAACTTTTTTCCATTAATTTATCAGCTTCGTCAAGGACCAATAATCTAACTGTTGTTACATCAATGATTTTTGCTTGAACTAAATGTCTTAGTCGCCCAGGGCTACCAACAACAATGTGCACATTCTTTTTAAATTTCATTACATCTTCTTGGAAAGGTAGTCCACCTATTACAACTTCCACATTTAAATCTGTAACGAGGATTTTGTATTGTTATATTTATTAAATAAAATTAAGCACTTGAAAGGCAGTAATACCTTTTAGAATTTATATCTACATAGTAAATTTCACCATGTATGACCATTGGAGATGAGAGAGGGAGACGCAATGTTCTGTAAACTGGGCAACTCATTCTAACTTCTGCTAGGGGACTTTTTCATTTATTATACCAATTTAAATAGGTACACCTTATTTAAAATATAGGCAGGGGACTGTTTTCAAAATGTGAAGACAGAGTTTCATTGGTTTTTTTTTAATTTTAAAATAATAATTATGCAAAATAAATGGGTCTCATGAACAAACAAACAAACAACATTGATTTAACCCATAGAATCCCAAGCGGTCACCGGTGACCGCTCTCCACTACCTATATTATAGACCTTATTTTCGAATACTTAAAGACTACTTTTGTATGAACAAATTTAGGGGATGAATTTCAACGGGTTAATAATATAATAATTACGATAACTCCAATAGATACTGTCCCGAATAATTTAGTTTGAAGTAACTACACAGCCAGGGGACTGCTGTGTGACATGCCACAGGACTGGGGACTTTAGAAAAACTATAAAAACGTTTTCAATATAATAAAGTTTATATTAATGAATTTTCAATTTTGTGCAGCGGTTGATTAGGGTATTGATTTTTGGAATTACTTACGAAGTATTTACAATATTTAATTTTTTTAAACAAAATCAGCCTGGGACAATGAGTTGCCCAGTTTACAGAGAACTGCCCATATAGTAATTTAACAAATATTTTTTTTTTTAAGATCTCTATTACAATTAGAATACGAAATTCTTTATATTCAAATTGAGTTGTATTAGTAGGTACTATGTATAAAAAGTTGGTCTTGACACATTAAATTGCACACATTTTAAAGAATATACTTGCATTGTAACCACTTACTTTTATAATTAGAACCTATTTGAGTGATCACATCACATATTTGAGTTGCTATTTCTCTTGTTGGTGCCATGATAATAGTTTGTAAGCCTTTTTCCAAATCTAATTTTTCCAGAGCTATTACTGTAAATACGGCCGTTTTACCGGTTCCAGACTTGGCTTCAAGAAGTAGATCTGAAAAGAACTTAAAATTATATTAATTTATCCATACTATCAAATAACCCTTCCTACATTCAGATAAATATTAAATATGGTCAGAGTGTAACCTGACGTCCTAGACAAAAAGTGCTCAGATGAGTTTCGCTTTATTTTTAGGTGTACTAAGCGATGGAAAAAGAAAACTAGGCATTTTTAAAAATTTTATTTTTTTTTGAAAAATTTTAACCCAAGGGGGTAGATTGAAACTACAAAAGCTTTTATATCACAAAAAAAGATAGAAGTTAAAATTAAATAGTAAGGTATAATATTGTAAAATTTTTCGATAACCAGTGATTTAAAGGTTATGTAAAAGAAAAAAATCTAGGGAAGATACGAATGGTCTTCTTACCAAATCCACATTTGCCTAAAGGTATGCCATGTAATTGAATTGGAGAAGGCTTGTAGAAACCGCAATTAGTCAGTCCCTCTAAAGTATTCGGTTTAAGCAGCATCGTGTCAAAGGTAACATCTTCAGATATTTGAACATCTTGGGTTCGTAACCCTTCATTTATATTATGCGCTAGAACCATAATGATTGTATTTTCTAAACTATTCTAATAATAAAGCTGTTTCAATGTATAGTATAAAAACCGTTTAAAGATATGCCGGGGACAAAATAAACTTCTTTTCTTTACTGTCAAAGTGTCAAGTCTATTCATCAGATCGATCAGATCACTCGACACTGAATGTCAAATCGAAAAATTGACACAAATACATGAAACGTCACAAGTCTACAGTGTATATCTAAAGTGTTCCATACACTATCCTTCAAATTAACATGTCAATGACATGCTGAAATAAATAACCCAAACAGTACATAATATTGACTCACCTGATCACCTCATGTCTTTTTATCCTTTTCATAGATTAAGAAAGCACATAAAATAAATGTTTTTTTTTAGTTCAAATAAATGGGGTTAAGCCCATTGCCGTATATATTCCAACTTTATATTAATGTTTTAATCATGTAAACAATATTAATTTAATTTGCGGTTGGAATGTACATAAAATCGGAAATTGTTAGTCTTTCAGATATTTTAAGGAGTTTGTAGGTAGATACCTAGTCATTGTCTAATCAAGCTGTCATTTTAAAATAGTCTATGCTCTTCGTATAGATTTAATTACGGTTTCAGAACGGATTTTTGTGAAATGGCGAATTTGTGATTCTTGTGGATCAATTTATTTTATTTGATTGATAATTTTATATGGAAAATATGCAGTATTGTGAACTATTTAAATCTGTGTATCATATTTAAAAACGTTACTTATCCGTTATTGACTCTCTCCATAATATGATAAACGAAACCAGTTGATTGCATTTTTGTCAAGTGTTGGGTTTCCTCGAGAAACAAAATTTACAGTGAGCATCATTTTCAGTTTTATTTTAGTGTTTCTTAGTATGGCATCTCTTTATTTGAAATATATATTACTTGTAGCTTTTTTGATGTTATAGATATGGTCTAGTTCTTTCTAATTCATATGTAGGTCATGAAAATAATACACAAATACAGTATATACCTAATGTGAGGAGGGTCTTGTATTTACTATTTTGATTTAAAACATTGATGATAGGGAACAATTCATGTAATTTGATGAATGAAGAATGTATCCTTCTAAACAATCTTACCATGTTTTGTCACACACAATCTATTTATAATATAAGACATATGAATATTTGAGACAAACTTGTAATTTATTGAACTATGATTACACTATTTTTAGGTTCATATTATGATTTATGTTCAGATTATTTTTACTGGTATATTAGGCATATTTGGTTGATACATCTTATGTTACAGTACTATTATGTTATATGAATATGTTTCCAGTAATGCTTACATTTTTCCTTATTAAGACTATGGTACATACCAGTATAATTTTTAGGACATCACTATGAACAATAACTGTGCTGGAGTTGGAGTTGGTGCTGGGGCAGTGGGTGGTGGGGGTGGAGCTTATGATGCTAAAATAGCAGGATTATATGATTTACTCGACACCTTAGGATCTGGTCACTTTGCCGTTGTGAAATTAGCTCGTCATGTTTTCACGGGTGAAAAAGTTGCTGTTAAAGTCATAGATAAAAGTAAACTAGATGATGTTTCTAAATCACATTTGTTCCAAGAGGTCAGTTTAAGCTTTTATATATTAATTAGTTAAGGTCAAGTGTTTCACCTTCAATCTAATGATAATGAGATCAAATTTATGATAATATTGGATTATTTGATAATCAAAGACGATAACATTATTCAGATTTTATAATAATAAATTATTATATTAAAGGGATTTGAAATTATATAGACTTATCCTCCATAATAGACTTAAGAAGTGTTGTACAAATCTGTGATACTTAATTTCCAGGTACGCTGTATGAAGTTGGTGCAACATCCCAATGTAGTACGTCTGTATGAAGTGATAGACACACAAACTAAACTTTACTTAATACTAGAATTAGGAGATGGTGGCGACTTATATGATTACATTATGAGACATGAATCCGGTTTATCTGAATCTCTTGCTCGTGACTATTTTCGTCAAATTGTTCGTGCAATATCATACTGTCATAGGTAAGTTTATTTGACCTGTATTGTTGATTGTTCCTTCTTATAATGTTTATGATGATTGTTTTCTTTTTCAAACAGGTTACATGTGGTACATCGTGATTTAAAACCGGAAAATGTAGTCTTTTTTGAAAAACTAGGCGTAGTGAAATTGACTGACTTTGGATTTAGTAATAAATTTTGTCCTGGTCAGAAATTAGAAACTTCATGTGGATCTTTAGCATATTCAGCCCCAGAAATTCTTCTTGGAGATTCCTATGATGCACCTGCAGTTGATGTTTGGTCTTTGGGGGTCATACTCTACATGCTTGTGTGTGGTCAAGCTCCATTTCAGGAAGCTAATGATAGTGAAACTTTGACAATGATTATGGACTGTAAATACACTATTCCTCTACATATATCAAATTCTTGTAAAAGGTATGTTTTATTTTTTTATTGTTTTAATTTTATCATGTAGTTGAATTCAGTTGATAAACAATATTTACCAAGCAGCACTGAAAATTGATGCCAATGATTCTGCAACCCCATTATATATTTCACACAGGTGTTCAATAATAATTCATAGTAAACTTATAAATTCAGATTGCAGTCATATCATTTTATGATAACCTAATTAACCCAGTATGTCAGTCTTCACATTTTATAGTTTAACCATCTTTCTATCATTGATTATAATTATGTTGTTATGATGTTGTTTTATATATTGCTTAGCTTGTTAATTGAAATATCGATCCAGCCATGTACTAAGTAGAAATAAATCACAATACAATATGAAACATCAGTCATGTGCTGAAATGTGAATTATATAAGTAATGTGGCTAACAAAACCTGTAAATTTCTTAACTGGTCATTCTGTTTCCTATATATTTTTATATTATATATATATTTTTAGGGATACTCCCTGGGATTCACAATTTATTTAAAAATATCCTTAACTTTCAGGCTTATCGGGCGCATGTTAGTGAGGGAACCTGAAAAACGTGCGACGCTATCTGAAATTGCTACAGACCCCTGGGTTACAGCAGGTGAAGGAGTCACAGTGGAAGACTTTGATACACCTTTGGTGGCTAAAGAGCAACTTTCAGAAGATGATCGGACAGCAATAGTTCAAAGGATGGTTAATGGCACCATAGCTTCCAAAGAGCAGATTTTAGAAGCTTTAGAAAAAAATGAATATAATCACATCACAGCGACATATTACCTTTTGGCAGAGAGGAAACTCAGATCCAAAAGGTATTTAAAGAGATTTATTTTGGATAGATTTTATTTAATTAAATTTATGAATAGAAATATGATAAAGCAATATATTTATATTTCTGTAGGCAGGAGGCTAATCTGCGTGCACGTCGACCAGAGGCGCTCAGCGTGGCACGCGCCGCGCCCGCGCCGCAACCGCGCGGACTACTGGCGCCGCCCACACTCTCCGCCGCACCGCGCACGCCGCAAGACGTACCGCCGGTCAGACATCCCATGTTTTCATACTAACTTATCTATTTATTAACTGTGAATGACTTTGTCTTTAATCTGTCAAACACCAAGCGGTCACCGGTGACCGCGACCTATTGTTCTTTAATTGTGTCTATAAAACCGGTACTCGACGAGTTAAACACTTTTTAACAAATTTTCTAACATGTTATCTACTTTTTTAACATAATTCTATGTTCACAGCGATCGCGGAAATGTAGCATTGTTCGCGAAGAAGAGGACGACGAAGAAGGTGCGGTCGCCGGTGGATGCGGTGGACGCGTGGTGGACGCTCGGCGCGGCTCGCGCTCCGAGGGCCGCCTACATCTCGCCGCGCGCGCCGCGCACCCTGCCGCGCCCGCACCTTCTGCGCAACGCTCTACTCATCTCGCCGATAACCTAACCAAGGTTAGATTTCTGTCTCAAGTCCCATCTGTTCTTCCGGCTTTGTCGCTCGGCGAACGCAAGATGCCACCGAACGAATCATACCTTGTCGCAGGTGAACTTGGATGATGAAGGGAGTGCTGAATCAATGGCGCGCGGAGCCCCGCCTCCGGCGCCACCACCCGCGCGTCGCCAGCGACTCGAGTGTCGGCGGCGTCGCGCCCGCGCTGGCTCTTGTTCATCTTCGGACCTTTCCGACGACGACTCCGAAAAAAAGAAGCGCGCTGCAGAGCACGCCGACGGACCACCAGAGCGAGCCCGTCGGGATTCGCACGACGATTCCAGCGACAGCCAAGAACGCGGGGGAGGGGCTGGGGCACTAGGCGGGAGTCGCGGGGCCACTCGGGCGGCCGCGCCTGCGTCCGCGCCGGCCGAGCGCGGCGCAGGCGGGGCAGCCGGGGACGGGCGCGCGGGCGGCCCGGCGGGTGCGGCCGGTGGTCGGCGACGGCGCGCGGCTCGCAAGGAGAGTCGGCTGCGCGAGTCGCGGTCGCTAAACCGCATCGCGGAGGTGGAGGAGGCGCACGGCGCGGCGCGCTGGGCGGGCGGCGGCCTGGTGGCCCTGTGTGGCCGGCCCCTGCTGCGGCTGCTGGCGGCGGCGCGGCCCCCGCCCGGCGCGCGGCGCCTGCACGGGCTGTGCTAGCCCCGCGCCGGCCCGCGTGTCGGCCCGCGTGTTGGCCCACGTGGCGATCCACACGGCGCCCCGCCCGCTGGCCCGCGCGTCGCCCGGCCACCGGCTCCGGAGCCTCTCGATCCCGCCGAACTTCGTTTCCCGACTCCTTGGGTACCGCGCCGCAACCAACACATTGGGTAGTTAAAGAGAGTATCTCACACCGACGGTCCGCGCGATGGCGATTCCGCGTGAACGACGATGTTTGATTTTTAGATTTTTTGATGTAATGAACCCGATAAATATCTAACTACTTGTCCTTTAGACGCCGTCAATTAAAATACGGCCGGAAATGAAGTGAGTGATGTCGTCAGAGTTATCATCGAACAAATATGAAATTAAAGCTGAAAGTGGGAAGGATTAACACAATTAAAGCTTAACGCGTGAGCCCGTTGTCGACTTTTTGCTGTCTGACTGGTATTGAAAAGTTTCTACTCGTTGTATTTTTATAAAGAAAATCCTTACAGGAAAACAGGGTTTCTAATGGTTCAGTTAAAGCGTAAATTCAAATTCATGGGTGATGATGATAACTCAATGACGGAGGGTAGCAAAGTTTTACTTTTAGCTGTACATTATATATTGACTGATTCACATTCATTGTCTCGTCTTGACCATGCGTTAGGTTAAACAGGGTTAAAATATTTTATTTTGAAAAAGTTTAAACATTTAACAATTTGCTTTGTAATTTTCACATATGTTTATAATTATTATGTTGTTGAACAGCTGTTCTGTTGTTATTACATCATTTGGTATCATCTTTACAATTCATTATGAAGATATTCTATAATTTTTTGAACTTGCCTGCTACTAAATTTGTGTTTATTCAAGTAATATGTCAGTGGAGTGTATTCACATAAATTCTGGTTGCACTATCACATACTCAAGAAATATATATTTCGTATTATCTGCTCTTAATTTTAAGCATTATTTTATTTATTTTTTCAAAGTTTTTAAATATTATCTAATATCTATATAGCAGTGAATGTTTTGAATTGATCTTTTACATCTTTTAAAGTTATTTTCATAAGATTTTCCAGTAATTTTATACAAACGCATGTATGTTTATTGTTTTAGAAATACATGCTTTTATATTATTCAGAATTTATACTAATTAATTCATATATCTAAATCACACGAGTGTTAAAGATGATTGTATTCTTTTTCATTTGCGTCATGCGTGATGACCCGTCCGATTAGGAAAAGTAAAATTAGCTTATTGTGTGTGTAACTTCGATGTCGCGTCGTCGTATAAAGACATCGCTTGAGTGCATCACTGCGGCTGGGCTCGCCTCGCACTCGCGGCGCCGACACTGCACGACTGCACCTGTTGCTTCCATCTTTGTCAACGATAGTGCTACAAAATATGTATATCTGAACCACTTAATAAGTGTTTGTGTTCGTGCTAATTCTAACCTTTTTATGGATTCATGGTATGTTGGGCGTTAGATCCCATCGCATCATCAGACTGGTAATTAGGTACATATTTGTAGCATATTTTCTACCTCTTATTATGACTGTATTATCAATACTATCATTGCAAATGATTTAAAATTGTTTTCAATATCTGTAAAATATACATAAGTTTGTACTGAGTGTTTGTTTATAATTGTTATAAACATAAATGGTAGAGTAAAACTCAAGTAGCATGAAGACGGCTAGCACTAGATCTGTGCAAAATATACTAATTTATTGTAGTCGTTAATTATCATAGACTTGAGCGTATCCAGTGTGTGAACGCTTCATTTTCTTTATATATCGATACCTGCATTTAATCATGTAGGCGTCTTTGTCGCTAACTCATTTGTGACTTTTAAGAGGTAAATGTTAGTTGATTAGATTGTGAAAACAAAAATTGTTTAATAATTTGTAGATTGTATGCATCTTTAGAATGGTTACATTTTTTTAAAGTAAGTTAATGTTGTGTATTTAAAAATCTATGTACATATTTAAATTGTTGTAAATAAATAGTCTATCTCAAATATTACTTAAATAAGTAACTTTTAGTTAATATTAATAAAGCAATGTCGCATACAATATCTTACTAGGTTGACATTGTAAAATAGTAATTGTGTAATACACTTAAAGTTGGATTATGAAGCACTGCAGTGGTGCTCTAAGTTTGCAATAATTATACCCAGACCAAAGAAAGAAATTGTGTGTTAATGCATTTCCTATTCTTGTGCTGTTCGGTGCCAACTTAATATAAATTGTATAATTATGGTAAAATTCAGATATGTGTGTGAACCACTGTTTCCCTAGTATATTTTGTGTCGGTGCTTGTTATTTAAATAATGGTCGAGATTAATATTTGGAGATATTATTAAAAGTATAAAAGTAAAATCTAATTTGCCATTTATTTGATTGGTTTTCCACACATAACATACCTAAAAATATAATTGACTAAAAGTATGGGATAAGTGCCCTCCCTAAGGCGGTGACAGCAGAGATACTCGAATAGACACTAAAATGTTGAATCGGTTGCCGACAACTAGTTTGTTGCGCCACCTAGTACGGCTACAGAAACCAAATGAGATAAGTCATATTTTAGTATTAGCAACACTCAGTCCTGAAATATTGACTTCTTTATCTTTGAACAAAATATAAAGGTTCGGAAGAGAGAATCTGAACACGTACAGACGTTAGACTTCAGAGGAATAAACTATATCGATCTCCTGTCAAATGTTTTTAATAGAGTTTCAACTATAAAGACGGAGTGCCCAACAAGTAAAGCAGCCAATGAAAGTATTTTGTAAATAAAATGGCGTAAGTATCACAAACTTATATAGCAGTAAGTACTCAAAAATAAATCATTGTATCCTTAGTAAATCATAACGCAATAGCATCTTGGCTATTTCGATCAGCAGATTTATTCTAAACTAGCTTTTACCCGCTGCTATGCTCGCGTCACAAAAGTAGCCTATGAGACATATACCAATACACACAGCGCTCGGCTGCCATTGCAGCGGTAAGCGGGAGGTACCTGTGTCTGATGGGGCGGGAGGAAACGCCCGGGTGTCATCACTGCGAGGACCGCCCTGAGGACACGGTGGAACACACAGTGGGAGAATGCCCTGCGTGGGCTGAGCACGGCCGTGCCCTCAGGCAAGTGATCGGCGATGGCGACCTCTCGCGTCCGGGCCTAGTGCAGGCCATGATGCGGAGCGAGGGGGACTGGGATGCCGTCTCCTCCTTTTGCGAAGCAGTCATGCTAGCTAAGGAGGCGGGACGCGTGAGGCAGCGAAGCGCTGCCTCCTCGCAACCCAGCCATCGCGATGGACACACCGGGCGTCTGGGATCGCGGGACGATCTCCGGCCACCGTAAGCGCGGGCCTGCGGACGGCGAGCATGGGTGGCTCCCCGTCCGACCATAAACAGACCCGAGCGTACGGCGCGTCGCGTTCCGCGCGCGCCTCAAGGAGCCATCAGATCACCACAGATGGGGCCCAATAGGGCCGATGCCGATTCGGAGTCGCGAAGAACCTAACGGGTAACCGGGGCTCCGGCTCGACGTGCAGGAGAAGGAACTGGGTGGTTTTTAGTCAGTAAGAGTCTGACACTCCCTTCCGCCTCACCCAGGCGGGAGCAGTCATACGATGATTTAAAAAAATATACACAGCGCCATCTATACCAATTATTTTGTTTTTCCTCATATTCCCCAATACCAACATTTTCCGGGATAAAAAGTACCCCATTATTTAATCTGGACTTCTAATTTTACGTCTGCAAAAATTCAAAGCAATCGGTTTAGAAGTTACGGTGTGAAAGCGGAACAAACAAACAAACTCACTTTTCCATTTATAAGGATAAGGATACATTTGTAATAGCTCAATCAGCATAATATGTTGAAAGATACTTGTAAGCACACAAATTATAATATGATGTACTACAAATACAACATAGAGAATGTTTACATTTGGCTTTGCCCTGACTCATCAATACTGCAATATTACACATATACGGTGCACACTCACGCACTTGGCTCAAGATATGCCTATAAGGTAATAGGCCTTTAAGTAATAACATTTTGACCCCAGGGTGGCGTACCTACTCTAAGTAAACACTAGCTACTGCCGCGCGGTTGCACTCACTCTGCTCGGCGCCTATTTATCGTAGCGTGATGTTTTACAGCCTATGGCCTTCCTCGATAAATGGGCTATCTAACAGAAATAATGTTTCAAATCGGACCAGTAGTTCCTGAGACTAGCGCGTTCAAACAAACTCTTCAGCTTTATACATCCTGCTACTCGCAACCTAGGGTGTAGGTACCTACTTGTACACCTAATAGTTACCCACATTGTTATTCTAAGAAGTAAATTATAAAGAAGTGTTATGTAGGCTTAAAGTATAAAGGTTATAAATATGTCTAGATTCATTTATAATATGATTTGCCACAAATCTGTCTAAATAACGCCAATAATCTATAGATTTGGTTTCATTTGTATAAGACCAGTGCCCGCCCTAGCTTCGCTGGGTAGGTAGGTACTATTTCTCAATGTTTCCAGGAATGTTGAATTTTTTTCTCAAACAATCCTTGTCCTAAGAATTACGAACACGATTTTGCTAGTATTGGTTCGAGAGTGATTTTCTGTTATATGAGGGCACGGTAGTGCTCTCGCCAAGTCGAGCGCGAAGCAAACTGCCGTACCATACCATTTATTGGAACCATTTCGCCGCATTTTCAGGCCCCTATTTGAGAACCTCTAGATAAGACCAGAACGCAGAAATTTTCGTCATCTAGTATGCTATAATCACATACTTAAAATCCAAAATTTCAAGTCTACAGGCTATTTAGTTCCGAAGTTAAGCGAAAGCAAAGTTTCGCATTTATGACACTCACTCATGATCATCAAAACAGAGGTTAATAGAACTAGTACTTCCCATGACCTCAGAAAGCTGAAATTTTGTACAGAGTTAGGGTTTTATGGCCACATAAAGGAAAAACTATAAAAACTAGGATATTGAAAATCTGGAGT